AGGACTCAGTAACTCACTCTAAGACATTTGTAGGAGAAAGAAAAAAAATTCTTTACTTGCAGTTACAAACAGATCAACAACAAATAAACGGATGCCAACTAAGTAAAGAGAGGGAAAAAGCACTCAGCACAGAGGCAGGGTTCTCTTTGAAATCAGACACTGGGAAGAATGATTGGCTAGTGCTGGATAGACTAGAAAAGTCCCTTCTAGTCACACAAACTAGAGAGAGCATGCAAGGCTGCAAATAAAACTCCAAAATGTACTTCATATGTTATAGTCGTTTCAAAATAGAAGAACATTTCAGCTTGAGAAATAAAATACACCCACAGGAAAGGAACTAGTTTGTGAGAAGATATGCCTGCACCCTACCAAACCCATCAGTCATATTGTACATACTGTGCAAATTAGCTTGGAACTGAACCAGCACCTGGAGAAGCAACATGTGGCACAAAGACTTTAATTTGTTATGCCTTGCTGATCTGGAAGAAATCTATACCTCTTTACTACAGATGACTAGAACTCCAGGTTATAGTCTTTAGCCCTTACAGAGAAATTGACCCTCCCAATTTGAAATACAAGGCACGCCCAAGCAAGCGATACATTCTGCACAACATGGCATCTCCTTATGAATCATTGTAAATAACAACTCCTCAGTGCACTCTTAATTAAGAGTATCTAAATCCTGGCTTGTTCATTATTGGGTGTGGGTGTGTGCATGTGTGTGCGTGTGCGCGTGTGCATGCCTTTATAAAATTAAATAAAAAGTGGAATGAAGAAGCAGTCAGAAATCTATACAGAATGACATTCTGGCAAAGCCTAATATACACATTTACAGAACATAAGTGTATCACTGAAAAATCATAAAAAACAGTAAGAAACAAGAAAGTAGAGTTCTACAGTCCCTTGAAAAATACCTCTACACTAAATGTTAGAGCTATCAAAATCTGGAATCATATATCCTTTGTCTTCAAGATGGATTATAATGGGATTCAGCTGTGATTAAAAGAAGAAGAATGTCATTTTTACCTTCTGTAATTTCAGAACAGTCAAGATGGTACAACTAAGCATTAATATCTTAGAAAATAGCACACAGTGCTTTACAGTGACATTTTATATTTTATAGCTTTGTCAAGGCCTGGAGCTGGTCTCCTTAGCTAAGTCTGTCCCTATTTTTTTTTGAAAGAACCAAAAAAAGCAAGCAGTGCTACCTGCAGGCATCAAGATGTATTAGCACATTAATTCATCTCTGCACACTCTCAAGGCCAGCAGTAACTCGAAAGTATGCAAGCTTAGCATGCCTTGAACTTTTCAAAGTATGCTCTGGCAAAAAGTTTGGAACTCTTCTACTGCGTTTGCAATTCCCTAAAAGGAGGTTAAGCAAGCTCAGAAAAGACAGAACTACTACTATTTGAAGCCAGACGATTTCTGCTACTGGTGTCACTGAAGGGAAAAATAGCAGCGTTCTGAATATAAACAATCCTGTTATAATCCTCTGCTGTTCCAATTATAGTTGCAAATGTTTTCCTATCTTTATAATTTTTTTTCTTCAGTTAAGATGACTGTACAGTTTTGGTCACTGCTAAATCTGAAAGCCACTAAAGAACTCAAGTTGCAAATCTTTTGACATGGAGAAATGGGGGGAATCTAATGAAGTTAAAGGGGTGCTTGGCAATTAGCTTCAAAACATTACTATTTTCCCTTTTATGTTCTTCCAAAGCACCTCATTTATCAACAACACATCGTTAATTTCTCATATCGTAGCTGTCCAATCCATGATATAGTAAAAACTGGTCAGTACAGAAGAGAATATCAGCTTCACTTGATTGCCCAGCAGCAATCCTAACTGGATAAGAAATACTGGTTTTTTGCTCCATAAGACGCACTTTCCCCCCCAAAAAAGTGGGGGGAAGTATGTGCGTCTTATGGAGCAAATACAGTAAAAAAGGGTTCAGCCACCACCACCCAGAAGCCTCCCACTGCCATGCTGGGAGGCCTCTGAACTGGCACCAAAGACTGCTTGCTATTTGGACCTCACCATTCTGCACTGCTGGCTTTCCAGGATCTGCTTCTTGCAGCCCATCTGGAAAACCAGCAAGGCTAACAGGCCTATGGCAGCAGGCAATGAAAACAGCCAAGGACCAAAGGGGAAAGAGTAATTCTAGAAAGACCAGGGGAAACCACACAGTCCTCCACTTAGGCAGTTGATTTTCCCACATTTGGGGAAATCACAGGGGTCAGTACATCCAGAGTGCAATAGATAAGCCTTACCCTGGGAAAACCACTTTTACAATAATGGTATCTCCCTTGCCAGGTATGAGTTGGAACGGCCCCTGAAAATTCTTCCCTTTTCTGTGCCCTATCCCCCAAAAGGAATGGTGACCCCCTGGCTGCATCTCCTGATCAGAGCAGGGCTGCACAGCCCCAGTCCTAAAAGAGGTCAAGAGACCTACTCAGTGTTTTGGGGTGCCCCACAGGACCCCCATCAGGGGCTGGAATGTTCCTCCCACAATCCTCCAGTGCACAGATATTAGCATACCTAATATGTGGGGAAGGCAGGGAAAGCGGGGAAATTCAAACTTTCAGTTAGTGAAGAGGCTGCTTGTCTGCTTCCTTGCTAG